CTCTTGGGGGCCTCTTGGGGCCATTTTGGGGCCATCTTGGGACCTCTTGGGGCTTCCTGGGCGCTTCTTGGGGCCATCTTGGAGGAGATCGATCAAACAAGAGGGGGGGTTTAATTAGCGCCCCCCCTCGGAAGCCCCTAAAATCGCCTCTTGGACCCTCTTGGAACGCTCTTGGAGTGCTCTTGGGCGCTCTTGGGGCCGTCTTGGGGCTCTTTTGGGGCTCTCTTGGGGCCCTCTTGGGCCATCTTGGAGCCATCTCCAGGCCTCGGATGGCCATCGGAAGCGAAAAGGCGAGAAAGCAAAAATCATTGATTTTCCTTAGGTTTTGGGACGTTTTTGGCCTCTTCGGGGCCTCCTTGGGGAGCTGTTTGGCCACTTGGAGTTATCTTGGGGCCGTCTTTGGGCTTCTTGGAACCATCTTAGGAGCCATCGTGAGCGATCTTGCGCTATCTTGAGCCATCTTGGAGCTCATTTTGGGTTCTCTGAGGCGCTCTTGGAGCCGTCTTGGGCCATCTTGGACGCTCTAACTACCCGCGGCCCCCCCCGTCCAGGTCCAGGGGAGGGGGTAGGGGGAGGGGTAAACCCCTCCCCAAGGGGGAAGAGGGAGGGGTGGAAGAGGATCTGCTCTAGACCACCTACGCCCAGAGGGCTGGTGGGATTCCAAGGCACAGGGGAGGGGGAGGGGAGGGGTCAGGACACCCTCCTAGATAGCAAGCCGTCTAACTCACTTCCACCCGCCCTCCCAAAACATGAGTAACACTCGAGCCTCAGGATGTTTAGCGGTCGTCTTTGGATGGGCAGCAACTGGGAACCAAAACCGACCCCATGTGCGCGACGCTGGGACAAGGTGCGCCACGCGTGCCAGGCGTGCGACGCGCGCCAGGCACCCCTGGGGCCCGAGCGTGCCAGGCAAGCTTGGTGCGCCAGATGCGTCACGTGTTCCGCGCGCGCCAGGTGTGCCGCATACTCCAGCCGCGCCAGGTGCGCAACGTCCGGGGCACATGCAGATTGTGTCAGGTGCGCCTGCGCACGTGACAGCACACATCAGGAAACATGCCAGCCCCCACCATCCTTGTCGAAAGCCAATGCCCATCATTGTGTCTGAGGGGCCTTAGCTGGTTACGCACGCGCGAGTTTCACTGTTCTTCCTCCTTGGAGCTGCTTCCTGCGGGCGTCAGACTTGGTTGTACGGCCACGCTCGCAGGACAGGCTGCTCGCATGTCGCCGGTCTCCCTGCAATGCCCTGCATTGCCCAGCATGTGGTCAGCGTCTTATTCTCGTTGCTTGCGGTGACATGTGCCCGGCCAGCCCTTCCGAGCTCTTCCGCTGTTGTGCTACAGAGAGGTGCGAGCCCATGTCCGCGCGTTTTGCCTGGGGGCGGCTGCGGTTCGTTGTTGGTGCGGCTATAGCCCCCCAGAGGGGAAGCGGATTCGTTCGACATAAGTTGTTGGGTGTGTGCGCGGGAAAGAAAAGCATGCGTTTGAGGTGCCTGCGCGCAGCAGGCCATACGCCACCACCCCCGCCGTCCCTATAAAAAACCGTTTGGCAGTGATCGCGGGGTGGCCACGCATGATCCAGATTCCTCTCGCTTCGCGGGGTGCCCGTCCGGAGCACGTACAGTCACGTCGTCGCGGGGCCTCTTGGGAGCCTTTTGGGGGCCTCCTGGAGGCCTCCTGGGTGGGGACTTCTTTGGGGCCTTTCCCCCCTCCCTCCTTTTCATACACCCTCCCCAGTTTTCTTTCCAGCGCCGGCTCTAATCATGGGCGCCGCAGTGACCAATTTCCATCTGGCTGGCGCTGCGCCGCAGTTCGCCCAGAGGGGGGAAAATAACATTACACTCCAGTCGCTGTGTGGCCTTTGGGGGGCTTGTTGGGGGGCCTTTTGGAGGCTTCTGGGGGACTTTTTGGAGGCTTCTTGGGGGCCTCTAGGGGCCTCTTGGGGGCGTCTTGGGCAGTATTGGGGCGCTTTTGCACCGTTTCGCTCCCTCGGAGGCTGTCTTGGGAGCCTCTCGCGGCCGCATTGGGGCCCTCTTGGGGTCCTCTTGGGCCGTCTTCGCGGCCTCTTGAACCGTCTTTGGGGCCTCTTTGGGCAGTTTTGGGGCCTTCTTGGGCCGTCTTGGGGCTCTTTTTTTTGGGGGGGGGTCCGGGGCGAGTCTGGAAATTGCTTGGGCCGTCATGGATTTTTGAAAGTCGAAAAAGGCGAGAACGCTAAACTATTGCAAACAAGCATGGGAAAATAAATGATTTCGGCCTCTGGAGGCGCAGTTGTGGGCGCTCTTGGGGCCCTCTTGGGCCGTCCTTGGGGCTTTGGGGGCCTTCTTGGGGCCGTCATCGAGGCCTCATGGGCCCCCGTTGGGAATATTTTGGGCCGTCTTGGGGCCGTCTTGGGCCGCCTCGGGGCCATTTTGGGCCATCTTGAGGCCCTCTTGGAGCCCCAAGAGGCCCAAGAGGCCGAATCCCACCAGCCCTCTGGGCGTAGGTGGTCTAGGACAGATCCTCTTCCACCCCTCCCTCTTCCCCCTTGGGGAGGGGTTTACCCCTCCCCCTACCCCCTCCCCTGGACCTGGACGGGGGGGGCCGCGGGTAGTTAGAGCGTCCAAGATGGCCCAAGACGGCTCCAAGAGCGCCTCAGAGAACCCAAGATGAGCTCCAAGATGGCTCAAGATAGCGCAAGATCGCTCACGATGGCTCCTAAGATGGTTCCAAGAAGCCCAAAGACGGCCCCAAGATAACTCCAAGTGGCCAAACAGCTCCCCAAGGAGGCCCCGAAGAGGCCAAAATCGTCCCAAAACCTAAGGAAAATCAATGATTTTTGCTTTCTCGCCTTTTCGCTTCCGATGGCCATCCGAGGCCTGGAGATGGCTCCAAGATGGCCCAAGAGGGCCCCAAGAGAGCCCCAAAAGAGCCCCAAGACGGCCCCAAGAGCGCCCAAGAGCACTCCAAGAGCGTTCCAAGAGGGGTCCAAGAGGCGATTTTAGGGGCTTCCGAGGGGGGGCGCTAATTAAACCCCCCCTCTTGTTTGATCGACTCCCTCCAAGATGGCCCCAAAAGCGCCCCGAAGGCTCCCCAGAGCGCCTCAAGAGGGTCCCAAGAGGCGCCCAAGATGCCCCAAGGCGCCCAAAAAGCCCTCCAAGAGGCCCTCAAAAGACCCCCAAGAAGCTCCTTCCCCTCCTCCTCCTCCTCCTCCGATTCTTCCTCCTTCTCCGTCCTCCTCCTCCTCCTCCTCCTCCTCCTCTTCCCCCTCCTCCTCCTCCTCCTCCTCCGACGACGACGACGACGACGACGACGACTCCTCTTCCATCCTCCCCCTCTCGGGGTCTGTGACAGCTTCCCCCGCCCTTTGTTATCCTGCATGCTCCCCGACTTCCCTGATCACCTCAACTCCCCTGAGCATCGTTTCTGGATGGGCTGGTGGGGATACGCGAAGCGTCAACAATTTGTTGATTCCCCCAATGGGTTTTTCAATGTGTTTCGGGCCCCAGAAGGGGGCGACCATTTTGGTACGGCGCTGTGGCGCGGCTCCCAGGGGGGGGGCTTGGGGGGATTCATCATAATGTACCACAATACAATATGTTGCAATTCTTTACGCTTCGCGTATCTCCACCAGCCCATCTCACAACAGCAACTCATGCGAAGCATGCCGACAGTCGTGTTTTTCAGGCGTGTGTCCGTTTGGCCCCGCATATCTCCCCTGTTCCTCCTTCCTCCCGCCTCCTTGTACATCCTCCTTGTGGGGGGAGCGGGAGAAGGACGAGGCGGAGGAGGAGGGAGAGAAACGCTCCTCGTGATTTGAGTCGTTTGGGGTTTCTCGTCCTGGTGTGAGTCGTTCGGGCCCTTCTTCCTGGTGTGAGTCGTTCGGGCTCTTCGTGGTGTGAGTCGTTCGGGCTCTTCGTCCTGGTGTGAGTCGTTCGGGCTTCTCGTGGTGTGAGTTGTTCGGGCCCCTCGTCCTGGTGTGAGTCGTTCGGGCCCCTCCTCCTGGTGTGACTCGTTCGGGCTCCTCGTGGTGTGAGTCGTTCGGGGCCCGCGTCGTGGTGTGAGTCGTTCGGGCTCCTCGTGGTGTGAGTCGTTCGGGCGCCTCGTCCTGGTGTGAGTCGTTCGGGCCCCTCCTTGTGGTGTGAGTCGTTCGGGCTCTTCGTGGTGTGAGTCGTTCGGGCCCCTCGTCCTGGTGTGAGTCGTTCGGGCTCCTCGTGGGGCCTCTTGGGGGCCTCTTGGAGCATCTTGGGGCCTCTTGGGGGCCTCTTGGGGGCCTCTTGGGGGCCTCTTGGGGGCCTCCTGGGGTCTCTGAGTCGCTTTTGCTCAAGCCGTGCCTCGCCTGGGCCCGCGCCGTCCTCGGGATGGCAGCTGGGGCCGCTGCGCGCGCTGACGCTGGCGACGCGGGTGCGGCGCGCCGCAGGGCCCTCGAGGCGGCCCGCGGCGCGCTCCTGGCGGCGCACGCTGCCAGCGGCCTCGCAGGAGTGGCGGTGTCCCGCGACGGGACCCGCCTCTTGCGGGCCGCCGAGGGCTTCCTCCGCGCGGCCATCGCGGAGCTCGGCGCGCGGGCAGCGCCCGCCCCGCCGGCGCCGGCAGCTGAGGGCCGCCCCGGGCGGCGCAGCCGGCCGCGCGGCCGTGCCGGGCGTGGCGCTGGGGCTCCGCCTGGCGCGCAGGGCGACCGCGATGGCGACGACGTGGAGGAGCGGGGCGGGGGTGCGGAAGGTGTAGCACGGGCTGCTGGAGCGCTGGGTGGGGCCCCAGGCGCGACGGCGGCGGCGCAGGCTCGGCGGCGGAGACGCCGCGCGCGGGGTGCGCGGGCGTCGGAGGCGGCAGCGGCGGTGGCCGAGCTGCCCGACGACGACGGCGGTGGCTCCCTGGACGACTCCTGGGCGGACGGGCTCGGCAGGGCGCCCGACGTGGGGGGGGCGACGGCGACAGCAGCAGCGGTGGAGCAGGCGGAGGCGGCCGCGGGAGCGGCAGCTGGAGCCAGCGGAGCGGCTGCGAGCGGCGGGGTGGCCGCTGGGGGGGCAGGCGCGGGCCTTCGGTTCGTGCAGGTGCCGCTGGCGGGGCCGCCCGTCGCCGAGGGCGAGGACGAGGAGAGGGAGCTGTCGCCTCCTGTCGGTGGTGCCGTGTCCTGGGCCGTGTGGCCGCCCCCGCTTGGCGCGCGGTTGCGCGCTGTGCAGGGCCCCTGGGAAGGGCGCGAGGGCGTGGTGATGACCGTGGGCTCGGCCGCCGTGACGGTCAGGCTCGACAGGCTCGCCGTGCCGAAGGGCAAGATCGTCCCGATCTTCCTCGACGACCTGGCGGGGTCGTGGGAGGCTCTCGACTGAGGGCCAGCCTCCAGCGTGGCGGAGTCCGCGGCGTTGGATCAGGGGTGAAAAAAAAAAAAAAAAAAAAAAAAAAAAAAAAAAAAAAAAACTCCTGGGGTCTCTGGGTGCCTCTTGGGGGCCTCTTGGGGGCCTCTTGGGGCCTCTTGGGGGCCTCTTGGGGGCCTCTTGGAGGCCTCTTGGGAGGCTCCTGGGGGCCTCTTGGGGCCATCTTGGGGCCTCTTGCGACCTCCTCGGAAGCGCAAAGACGCGCTGCCCCCTGAGAAGGACAACGTGAGCCCAAAACCTTCGTAAAATCAATGATTTTGCTATGGGGTGCCAAAACCATAGTAAAAACAATGATTTTGGCTTCAGAGAAGAGGAGAGCATTTTTTCTCGGCCCCCCCGTCGGGGCCAGAATCCTTGCGATGGCCGTCGTTTTTTAGCCCTCCCAGGAGTCGAAAAAGACCCCCCCAACGACCCGCGGCCCGCCCTCTCCAGACCCAGGGGGAGGGGGTAGGGGGAGGGGTACACCCCTCCCCGAAGGGGAAGAAGGGGGTTGGGGGGTTGAGGACAGAGGGGGCTCTCTAAACCACTCACGCCCTAAAGGGCTGGTGGGATTATGAAATCTTTGGATACATTGGATACGTCGCATTAAGGCGTTCGCCGAAAAACGCTGCCGCTTAGCATGTCACGTCCGGGCGTGGATTCCTCTCGCTTCGCGGGGTGCACGTCCGGAGCACGTGCAGTCACGTCGTCGCGGGGCCTCTTGGGAGCCTTTTGGGGGCCTCTTGGAGGCCTCCTGGGAGTTTCTTTTGGCCTCTTGGGGACTTCTTTGGGGTTTTTTTCCCCCCTCCCTTCCGTTTCATACACCCTCCCCAGTTTCCCTTCCAGCGCCGGTTCTAATCATGGGCGCCGCAGTGACCAACTTTCACCTGTCTGGCGCTGCGCCGCAGTTCGTCCAGAGGCGGGGAAATAACATTACACTCCAGTCGCTGTGTGGCCTTTGGGGGGCTTGTTGGAGGCCTTATGGAGGCTTTTGGGAGACTTCTTGGAGGTTTTTTGGGAGCCTCTTGGGGCCTCTTGGAGGCGTCTTGGGCAGTCTTGGGGCGCTTTTGCGCCGTTTCGCCCCCTCGGAGGCTGTCTTGGGGGCCTCTCGCGGCCGCGTTGGAGCCCTCTTGGGGTCCTCTTGGGCCGTCTTCGCGGCCTCTTGAACCGTCTCGGGGGCCTCTTTGGGCCGTTTTGGGGCCCTCTTGGGCCGTCTTGGGGCCCTCGTGGGAGCTTTTTGGGTCGTTTTGGGGCGATTCTGGAAGCTGCTTGGGCCGTCATGGGTTTTTGAAAGTCGAAAAAGGCGAGAACGCTAAAAGATTGCAGAAACCATAGGAGCATCAATGATTTCGGCCTCTGGAGGTACAGTTGTGGGCGCTCTTGAGGCCCTTTGGGCCGTCCTTGGGGCTTTGGGGGCCCTCTTGGGGCCGTTATGGAGGCCTCACGGGCCCCCGTTGGGAATGTCTTGGGCCGTCTTGGGCCGTCTTGGGGCCTTTTTGGGCCATCTTGAGGCCCCCTTGGGGTCCCCAGAGGCCCAAGAGGCCGAATTTGTTGATTTGCATATGTTTTTGTAGGTTTCTAGGGTCCCAGAAAGGGGGCGACCATTTTGGTACGGCGCTGCGGCGCGGCTCCCAGGGGGGGTTAGGGGGGGAGACATAATAATGTAACACAATACAGTATGTGGCAATTATGAAATCTTTGGATACATAGGATACGTCGCATTAAGGCGTTCGCCGAAAAACGCTGCCGCTCAGCACGTCACCTCCGGACGTGGATTTACTGGCTTACGCCGCACTGCCGACGCCTTGGGGCGGCAGTGCGAGTGAGAAACAGAATTCGCGGAACGCGCGAGATCGCTGGGCAATTTTGGGTTTGCGGCCTGTCCTACGTAGCGTGTGGGTTTCAAGGGGGGGCCTTGTAGGGAATTGTTTTGAAGTTTTTCATGGTCTTGTGTGAGCTGGTTGGTCCCAGGTTTCCTTTTTCCACCTCCTGGATAGGCTCGGGGATCGTTGACACCCATCTAGGGTTGCGTCCAGCCGGAAGTTCGAGAGTGGACCTAGCTGTGTCGACGAGGAGCTTCCTGAAGGCCCAGAAGGGGGCGGAAAGTGCCCAAGAACTAGGAGTCGAATGCCTCGAGCCTCGATCCACCGCGTATTTCCTTCATTTGCGAATGCGTGGCGCCTGCCAGGGAGGTCATTCCTCATCCCGGATTTTCGGTAGTAGCCCCCCGCACCGAAAACGGTTCTTGGAGGCTGAATTCGAGGAAGCGCCTCGCGTGGTCGAAAGACTACGAACATCTGTGCGACATCGGCGGCGACGACGAGATCTTCATGTGTTGTTCCTCTTCCTCTTCCTCGTCCTTCTCCTCGAGGTAAATGCCCCCGGTAGTTCATATATATATATATATATATATATATATATATATATATATATATATATGTCGAAGACGCCTACGGCGAATCACCGCCGCCCCCTGCCTTTTTGGAAGCGCCTATGTGGCCGAACGTGGAGGCCAGACCTGCCAAGCCATCGGACCATGTGTTCCCCGTATCGGTTTGGAAAGCCTTCGGGGAACACGTGGGCATCTTGAAGGTCATCTTGGCCGTCTTGGAGGCCTCGTGGGCGATCTTTCGGCGATTTTTGGGGGCTCTTGGGCCGTTTCGGGCCGTCGGAAGGCCGAGAAAAAGGAAATGTCAAAATCCTTCGAACACGTTTGGAAAATCAAGTTTTTTGCGTTTTTTCCTCCTTCGTGGAGGCCCTCTTGGGGGCCTCTTGCGCCGTCCTGGCCCAGCTTCGAGCCAACTTCGGCCATCTTGGTGGGTCCCTGGCACGTCTGACGCCGTCGGGAGCCGTCTTGGGGGCCTTTCTGGGCCAACGGGGGGCCCTCTTGGGGCGCTTCGGGGCCGTCTTGGAGGCCATCTTGGGCGTATTGGAGGCCATCTTTGGCGCGTTGGAGGCCTCTTTGGCCGTCTTTGGCCCCTGTTGGGGCCAACTTGGAGGCCACTTGGGCCGTCATGGGGCCCTCTTTCGGGCCTCTTGGGCGATCTTGGGGGCTTCTTGGGCCGTCTTCAGCCGTCGGAATGCCGAGAAGAAGCAAATCCCCAAATCCTTCAAAAACCTAAGGACAATCAATGATTTTGGCCTCTTCGGGCCATCCTGGAGAACCTCTTGGAGGCCTCTTGGGCTGTCTGGGAGGCCTCTGGGGGGCCTCTTGGGCCGTCTTGGGCCATCTTCGACTCTCTTGGGCCGTCTTGGAGGCCGTCGTGGACCATCTTGGGCGGACTTGGAGGCCATCTTGGGCCATCTTCGCGATGTGTTGAGGATGTCCCGAGCGAAACGGCCGTTTCTCGAGCCATTTTGGAGGATTTTGTGCTGTCGTTGAGCTTGTTTCCGGGCCTTCCGCGACCCCGGCGGGACGGGCCGAAACCCATTGGGAGAGCCTTTTTGGAAAAAGAGCCAAAACCAAAACCGATAGGATTCGGCACGCCAGGCACCCCTTTGCTAAAGCGAAAGGGGGCGGCGGATCGAAGACGCCTACGGCGAATCACCGCCGCCCCCTGCCCTTTCGGAAGCGCCGATGCGGCCGACTGCTGTGGCCAGAGGTCTGCCAAGTTATTGGGCCATATGTTCCCCGAATCGGTCTTTACAGCCTTCGGGGAACACGTGGGGGAGGACGGGGAGGAGAGGAGAGATAGGAAGGGGGGGAATGGAGGAGGAGGTCTCTTGAGTGCCTTTTTGGCTACTCTGGGTTTATATTGGGCCACATGTGCGGTCTTGGAAGCATCTTGGGGGCCTCTTTGGATGCCTTGCGGCCTTCCTGTTCTGCCTGACGCCGTCTGGGCTGGGTTGGGGGCCTCTCTGTGGCCTCACTTGGGTTTATCGTGGCCGTAGGCCTTCCTGGAGGGCGTCTTGGAGGGCTCTTGGGCCGTCTTGGAGGCCTCTTGCGGGCCTTTTGGGCCGTCTTAGACCATCTTGAGGCCATCTTGGGCAGTCTTGGGTGCATCTTGGAGCCATCTTACCCGTCTTGGAGGCCATTTTGGCCGTCTTGGAGGCATCTTGGAGGCCATCTTGGGCCATCTTGGCCGTCTTGGAGGCCATCTTGGGCGTCTTGGAGGCCTCTTGGGCCGTCTTGAGGCCCTCTTGGGGCCTTCTTGGGGGCCTCTTGGGCCGACATGGGGCCATCTTGGAGGCCTGTTGGGTGCTGTTGGGGCGATGTTGGGGACCTCTTGGGCCGTCTGGGGCCGTCGGAGAGCTGAAAAGAAGAACATGCCAAAATCCTTCAAAAACCTCAGGAAAATTAATGATTTTAACCTATTCGGGCCTTCCTGGAGGGCGTCTTGGAGGGCTCTTGGGCCGTCTTGGAGGCCTTTTGCGGGCCTTTTGGGCCGTCTGAGACCATCTTGAGGCCATCTTGATGATGGGCAGGAGGTGGAGTGGTCGAAGTTTGACAGTACGGGACTCTACCAGGCAGGGGATGGATCATGCATACCACATTGTATTTCGGAGTTGTCCAGAGCCGCGTATTCTTGGGTCTTCTTTGATGACGAAGGCCAACAGAAGTTTGTCGCGCGGGGAGCGGTGTGGCCCTCCTTGCCCCAGACTAGCCAGGCCGCGGAGCAGCTGCAGTTGGCGCTTCTGCCCATTTTCGTGCCGAGGGTGGCCTCTGAGTGTTACAGTGGTTGTATGAATGCGGTCAAGCTCCACAACAAAGGTCCCCTCGAACAAACCTCCCCGAAGCAAAGGTATGGAGGTCTTAGGCGAGGTGCCCTGGTCCATATGTGTGAGCATTAGTTTGCCCAAGCTGTTCACACGCCTGGGCACCGCAAGCTTGAAGTGATAGACGCGTTGGCTCAACCAGAGCGTAGGATTGGCCAGGCCAACTGGCGAGCAGATCTCGAGGCCAAGAAGACCATCGATCTGCATGCGCGCCCGTCGGAGGCTGAATCCAAGCAGTTATATTGCGCCATCGACCAGATGCGCAAGTGCGCACGGCTGATGGCGAGTGTGCTGCCGCTGTTTTTTTCGTGCGTCTCACCAGAGGCCACCCAGGCGTGGGAGACCCACAAAGGTTTTTTCACACACGTCGTGGCATGCCTGGCAGCGGAGTCTCTGGGGGTTTCGGTGCACCAAGTGTTTGGTCTTCTTCGGAGGACGACAGCACGAGCGCCCCGAGCTTGGATGCGAAGGTTTCCCTGAGAGAGTGGCTGAGCTTCTGGTCTCTGCCCCCGATCACGGACACAAGCTGGCGAGCACCCAGGTTGGAGACGAGGCCAACCCGTTGTTCTTTTGTCTGGCCTGCGGAGCGCACTCGCAGCACAAGATTCGCAGTTTGGCCACCCGCTGCCAGCCAGGCAGCATTCGCAGCGGTGGCCACGTGTTGTCTCGGCTGCGCAGAGGACTTCATCCTTTGCGCTGCGCGGCAGTCCCCTGTGCTGAACCTGAAGAACAGGTGGCGAGGCAGGAGGCGGATGTTGTTTTGTAGATGGCGCGCCGCGGCGAAGTGGCGGCCTCCGCAACCCTGCCGCCATGCTTGGATGCCATTCGTGCCCGCATAGCGGCGCGAAAGGCTGCAAGCAGGGCGCTGTGAACTGTCGCGCTGTCATAACTGGTCGGTCAACGGTGGCCATATATATATATATATATATATATATATATAATCCTCTTGGGGGGCCTCTTGGGGTCCTCTTGGGGGGCCTCTTGGGGGGCCTCTTAGGGGGCCCCATGGGCCGAGTTGAGCGCCTGTTGGGTCCCCCTGGGGCCGTTTTGGGGCGGAAGGCTCGGATTTTTGATTCAGGCTCCCCTTCTTGGGCCCCTTATTGGGCCGTCTTGGGGCACTCTTGGGCCGTCTTGGGGGCCTCCTGGGCCGTCTTGGCGCCCTCTTGGGCCGTTTCGAGCGCCTCTTGGGAACCTGTCGTGCCGTTTTGGGGCAGTCTCGGGGGACTGGGGCCGTCCCCAACGCCGCGAAGGCAGAAAAAACGTGCATGATAGAACTGTAGGTTTCCCCATTGGAATTCGACGAGTTCGGCCTCTTGGGCCCCTCTTGGGGATGCTCTTGGAGGCTTCCTGGGCCGTCTGGGAGGCTTCTGGGGTCGTCTTGGGGCCATCCTGGACGTCGGGGCCCTCTTGGACCGTCTTGGGGGCCTCTGCGGGCGGCCTCAGAAGCTGTCGTGGACCTCCAAAAGGAGCCTGGGAAGAGCCGGGCCCCTTGGTGAGTTCCGGCCGGACGGCCCCCCCCTCCAAATCGACCGGACCGGGCTCCAGGGGGAGGGGTTTGGGGAGGGTGAAGCATCTCATACGCCGAAGATCTCCAAGGGGTCGGCGGATTTTTGCCGCGAGGTGCATTGCTTCTGTCAGGGATGGTAGCCGTGCGCACAGCAGGCAATATGCTTGCACCCCCGCCGTCCCTGTCACAAAACAGTGCTAAGTGCTCGCGGGCCTCACGAGCATAACTCAAGACTTTGCCCCACATTGTACTTTGTATTGTATTGTTTTTGGAAGGGATGGTGTGGCGGCCGCATCGGTTTGTTGTGCATGCTCCACATGTGTTTTGTACTGGTTTTGCGGATGGTTGGGGGGTGGAGCATGGGGTCGGCATTGTTCCTGCTTGGCTGCCGGTCGCTTGGGGGAGGGGGTGTATATTCATAGGGGATGGTTATGCACCCCTCCCCCGGGCAGGGGAAGAGGGGTCTTGGTAGAGAGCAGACACAAGTTCGTTTAAACCACCTACCCCCCGAGGGCTGGTGGGTGTATCGCTCCTCTTCCGTCGACCCCTCCCCTATCACCATTCCCGCCCCCAGTTATTCTGATCAACTCTTTCGCCTCTGCAAGAAAACAGTATGATAATTATTCTCCTCCCTTTCACGAAGATGTCCTGATAATGGCGGGCCCCCCTGTGGGATTTGTTTTTATACGTTGGATTGGTCCGAATTGTTTGTTTCTCATGTGTTTCTTCAGTCCGAACTGTTTCGGTCCCTTCAAGGCGGCGTCCCTGCTGCAGCGACGGCCTTGCTTTTGGATTGGCGTTTTGCTTTCGTCGTTCATAATGGCGCTCGAGCACCAGCGTGGGCCGCTTTTCTGGGTCCGAGTCCGTCCAAATCGTTGTCTCCCCGCTCCATTATCTTCCTCCGCCTTCCCCTGGTCGTTCTCCTCCTCCTCCCGCTCTTCTTCCTCCTGCTTGTCCTCCAGCTCGCCCGCCACCTCCTCCTCCTCCTGTACCTCCTCCTCCTCCTCCTCCAATATACACAGCTCCTCTGTTTGATTGCGCGTTCCATGATTATGTTTTCTGGGGGGTTCCAGGTCCGCTGTGTCGCCCGTCGGTGGATCGAGACAATCAATCACAATGGGAACGGATGGGTGGTGACAGGGGATACGACGCGAGCGCGCCCTTCCCCTCGCTCCGCCGCTGTCCTCCCCCCCAACACCCAGGCCACATCCCCTCTGTCCCCCCTCCTTCAGACACGCCTTGTCCAGAGAGTTGGCGACGATAGGGTGTTCGAAGTGTTGCACGGCGTTCGGCTGCCGTCGCGACGGCACCAGTTTTCTTGCCCATGCACCTCTGACGTGCACGGCGTCGTCCCTCTCTCTCTACTTCTTATGGTGCTGGCTGCCGAAACCATGCTGGAGGGAGCAGAGCTTCCACCTGGCCGCAGGCTGCATTGGTAGGGGTTGCTGGCACGGGAATTTCGCTGTCCTGCGCACCCCCTGGCGTAGTACTAGATCGGGCATGTCTTCCTAAATCGGAATCTGGGAGACAAATGAAACATATTCAGAACATATTCAACAATAGTCCAACAACCATCGAAAATTTGTCCCCATCTTATTTGTCGACTATTTTTGAATCTTCCTCCTGTGGAGGGACATGCCCGACTTAGCGTAGGAATATTTAATGGCCGTCTGCCCATCTTGCAACCGTGCCTGGGTTGTGAGTCCGAGTTTTCAGGGATGCTTTTCTCGGGATCTCTTGTCTGGGCGCCCCTTGGGGGCCTCTCGAGGGCAGTCCTGGGAGCTTTGCGGGAGCCTCCCGGGGGCCTCCTGGGGGCCTGTCGGGGGCCTGCCCTTGCTGCCGTTCGCGATCGAAGCCAGCTCCAGGCCAGCCGCCGGTGCCCGCGCGCCCACCCCGCGAGAGGTGTCAAGGCGCCCTCGCCGGCCTCGAGGGCGCGCGTGGCGGACACGTTCTACTACGACGCGCTGCAGATCCCGCCGTCGGCGTCCCTGCGGGACATCCGGCGCGCATATTTCCATCAGTCCAGGCCCTCTTGCGGCAGGGCTCGTTTCGATTCTGCCATTCGGTTCGATTCGATTGTGGTGGCTTCCGATTCCGATTCGATCCGAAACGGGATTCCGATTTGGGCTCCGATTTCCAAGTGGAGGCCTATTAGGCTGCCGATTTCTGCCGATTTGACTTTTCCCGACTCGGCTGCCGATTTCTGCCGATCCGATTCGTTTCGATCGCCGATCCGTTTTGTCGATTCGACTCTGGGGGCGCCAGCCCTGCGATCGTCGACAATAGGAGGACACCTAGCCTGGCAGAGCACAGTGAAGGCGGAGCCCAACCTCGGCCCCCGTCTCTGCATTCGGGGACACCGGTCTGGGTGGTTCAGCTTGATACGTCTGCTGAAACAAAAGGCCCCCAGTCCCTCATGCTTGGGGCCTCTTCACTTGGGTCCGCTCAGAAAGGGTCAGGGGTCCTTGCATGGCCGATATCATGATGCCCGCGTTGGCTATGAAGAAAGTCCTTGGGACCTTGCGCGGCGCGAAATAGTTGTATTGTCTAGCCCGCACGTCAGCCCCGTCAGATACGGGACGACATTCGCGCGGCGATGCTTCGACGTGGGTCCGACGTAAATGCGGCGTGCCTCCGACGTAATTCCGGCGCAGTCCGTCGTGAATCCGACGTGAGTTGCCGCGCGAGTATTCCAGGATTCTCCTCATATAACATTTGTGGACCATGACATTCGAGGAAAGAAGATGGAGTTCTGATGTTGTTGGCAGTTTCAGGTTCTGGTCCCCTTCGTCGCCGCGGCCAGATTCGCCTTGAGAGTCTGACCAGAGCGCAGCCCAGGAGATGTCCATGGATCCAGCTCCAAGGTCTCCGAATCCGTGGCACCTTCAGTCTTGGAAAGCAAGACGCACTTTGTCCATGTGTGTGTGTTCTGCTTCTTGGGCCTCGGTTCCCAGGCCCCAGAGACGTCACAAACCAACTCGCGATGAAACGTCAGTCTGGAAGATGGTGTTGGACTTTCGCGGACCGCATGAAGGCATCAGGACATCGGCTGTCTGGGTTTGTCTGGGCCGATGAACGCTGTCGGGTGCTTCTGGTCTTCCTGGTGCGCGTCGTCGTGGGCAGGACATCCTCTGGACAAGGTCTGGAGTGGCGACCGAGCGCCGAGCCACGCGACCTGCGTTCTGTCGCCAGGGTCGGCCTCCTTGGGCCCTACACCCTAGGCGATGCTTAAGAAAACGTAAGGTTTCGGCCAGAGTCTCGATTATTCTTATTGTTTCAATGTGAATCCTAAAATTTTGGTAGAAATTCAGGGTTTTATTCAAATTCTGAGACTCTGAATTTCTTAACCCATGATTTCTTAAGCATTTCGCAGGGTGTACCGTGGCCCCGGGGTTGTCAGAGAGCGGCGCGGGACGAGAAGCCTGCCGCCCTGGGGAAGTCGAAGGGCAGGGGCGCGTTTTCCTCGGGGCTCCCTTCGCTCGTGCCAATGCTGGAGGCCAGGAGGTGCCGGGGTTTGTAAGCAAAGCGAGCGACGTCATTCATCCAGGGTTGGCCCGATGCGTTGGCAGGGAGGGTTGGGCACAGGGTTCGCCGGTCGGGCGCTGCGGAGATTTGGGGGCGATGAAAGGGGGGGGGGGAAGAGATGTGCACCTTTCGTCCCCTGGAGGGCCCCCCTGGGATTTTGGCGCTCCGCGCGGATTTCTTGGATCCGCGCCTGGGCCCCCCCGGCGGCGCCTTCGGCGCCGCCCCTGGCGCGCTGCGCGAATCCAAGGAGTCCGCGCGGAGCGCCAAAAGTTTATGGTCATGTGGTTTTCTTTTTCCATTCCAAGAGCAAGAGGTTTGGAGCGCCCCTCCCCAGGCCTGGCCACTCGTCCCCGAAGCGTTTGCTGATGGTCCTGGGGCACAGCGGAGGCCCGTGGCTTTCCGTCTGAACGTGGCACGGCAGTCCAAGCGCATTGTAAGGATGAGCAGCTTTCCAAAGTTACCCTTGCCTCCCTGCCCCGTCGGCCCATCCTGGGCAGCATTCGCTGGCCGCCGTTCGCAAAACGTCGGCATGGCCTTCCAAGGCCCCTGCATGCTTACCGCGCATCCTCATTCTGCGTTTTGATTGTACGTCTAGACGGGGAAGACGCCCTTTCCTCCCGCCCATCCCACTAAGGCAGCGGGCCTCGTGTCTTTCGGGGGCGGCCAAGAGGGGAGTGACTAGGGGGGGATATCATGGCGTGGGCCATGATATTTCCTCAGATTTCATGGCGTCCCTGGGTCCCCCCCTGGGCCGCGCACATGCCGCCAGCCATGATCTGCGCCCCCCTCTTGGCTGCCCCCGGATCTTCACTACAGCAACAAACTGATCAAACGTTTACGTCACCTCAGCGAGGGCTGCGCTGGATGCGCCGCCAGGGGAGATCCAGCACCGATCTAGACCATCCGCGCCGAACTCCGAGTGTTTCCGCAGTTTTTTTTTTTTACTCGCGCGCATCCACAGGCCCGCAACCAATGACAGTTTGCGTTTGGCCGACGTCCAGCTACCCCTGGCAACCCCGGCCACCATGCCAACGCACTGAATATTGGGAAGTGTGCAGGGTGACGACACGTCGGAGTGCGCCAACTACCCGCCTGCATTCGGGTGCAACTCCTGGGAGGTCAAGTTCTGATGTTGCCCTGATCCGAAGTCTGAGTCAAATCAGCTTAATCCCGCTTGATCTGGCTTAATCCTGCTTAATCCGAGGAGGACCATAATCATCAGGATCATCACTGTCTTCAGAACAATGGAGGTGGAGGAGGAGGAGGAGGAGGAGGAGGATGAGGGGGGTGATGAACGAGGAGGAGCAGATCCAGCAGGATCATCACTATCAGCAGAAACCAGTGGCGACGACGATCTTTAACGCAGCCCCCCAGAGGGGCTCAGTCCTCCTCGGTCCTTCAGACAAAGGCCTCCCGGCATTGGCCTCCTGACCCACACCGGCCCAGGGCCCAGGCCCGTCTTGTGCCGAGGATCGGTGCATGCAGCTTCGGGCGCCAAGCCAGGATGGCTTCTCTAAAGCCCGATCCTCGGCCAGGAGGGCCGAATCTGGAGGAATATTCAACATTTTCCCGGCAAAGCAACCTGACAGCGATGTGTATAAGCATATTTGGAAGCATTCCCCTGAAGATTCAGGTGAGAATCCAGTTGTAGAATTCTGCTGTTCTCGCAGTCGCAGTCGCATTCACAATGACAGTCGCAGTGGCAACGGCCTTAGGATCCAATGGAATCCTAAGGATCCATAGGGATTCCTAAGGCATCCTTAGGCATCCTTAGGAATCCATAGGAATCCTTAGGAAACCTTAGCAATCCTTAGGAATCCTGATTCCTAGGGACTCATAGGGATTCCAAAGGATTCCTAGGGAATCCTGAGGATTCCTAAGGATTCCTGAGGATGCTTAACTATGCCTATGGATTCCTAAGGATGCCTACGGATTCCTAAGGATTCCTAGGGATTCCAAAGGATTCCTATGGATTCCTACGGATGCCTCAGCCTGCCTCAGCCTCAACCTCAACCTCAGCCTGTCTCGGCTTGCCTCAGCCTCAGCCTCAGCCTGCCTCGGCCTCAGCCTCAGCCTGCCTCAGCCTCAGTCTCAGCCTGCCTCGGCCTCAGCCTGCCTCAGCCTCAGCCTCAGCCTGCCTCAGCCTCAGCCTGCCTCAGCCTCAGCCTCAACCTCAGCCTCAGCCTGCCTCGGCTTGCCTCAGCCTCAGCCTCAGCCTGCCTCGGCCTCAGCCTGCCTCGGCCTCAGCCTGCCTCAGCCTCCCCTCCTCCCCCCCCCTTTCCCCCCCCCCCATTCAGCCTCACCTTGTCTCAGCTTCGGCCTGCCTCGGCCTCATCCTCAGCCTCAGCCTCAGTCTCAGCCTCAGCCTGTCTCGGCCTGAGCCTGCCTCGGCCTCAGCCTCAGCCTCAGCCTCAGCCTCAGCCTCAGCCTGCCTCAGCCTCAGCCTGCCTCAGCCTCAGCCCTCAGCCTCAGCCTCAGCCTCAGCCTCAGCCTCAGCCTGCCTCAGCCTCAGCCTGCATCAGCCTCAGCCTCAGCCTCAGCCTGCCTCAGCATCAGCCTGCCTCAGCCTCAGCCTCAGCCTGCCTCAGCCTCAGCCTCAGCCTGCTTCAGCCTCAGCCTCAGTCAGCCTCAGCCTCGGCCTCAGCCTCAGCCTGCCTCAGCCTCAGCCTCAGCCTCAGCCTCAGCCTCAGCCTCAGCCTCAGCCTCAGCCTCAGCCTCAGCCTCAGCCTCAGCCTGCCTCAGCCTCAGTCTCAGCCTGCCTCAGCCTCAGCCTGCCTGGGCCTCAGCCTGGGAATGGTGTTCTGGGAAGAAGAACACGAAGTGGCCTACAGTTGGCTCCGGGCATTCAAAATGTGGCCTGGGAATGGTGTTCTGGAAAGACGAAGAACACGAAGTGGCCTACAGTTGGCACCGAACATTCAAAATGTGGTCTGGGAATGGTGTTCTGGGGAGTCCCCGGATCCTCCCCGGCACCCGCCCAGACCTTGGGAGTCCGGGGGAGTCCCTGGATTCTCCCCGGCATCCGCCCAAACCCCCTTGGGGAGTCAAGATGTTTTTTTTTTGCGCCACTAGAAACCTATCGGTCTTCGCTGTTAGGTAAATAGCAAAATTATCCCGGAAAAGCAACCTAACAGCGATGTGTATAAGCATATCTGGAAGCATTCCCCTTAAGATTCACCTTGTCTCAGCTTCGGCCTGCTTCGGCCTCATCCTCAGCCTCAGCCTCAGTCTCAGCCTCAGCCTGCCTCTGCCTCAGCCTGCCTCAGCCTCAGCCTCAGCCTGCCTCGGCGTGCCTCAGCTTCAGCCTCAGCCTGCCTCGGCCTCAGCCTGCCTCGGCCTCAGCCTGCGTCAGCTCGGGCATTCAAAATATGGTACAGGACTGGTGTTCTGGGAACACGAAGGTTACGAAGTGCCCCACGGTTGGCTCCGGACAATCAACATATGGTACAGGAATGGTGTTCTGGGAGCGCGAAGAACACGAAGTGGCCCACAGTTGGCTCCGGGCATTCAAAATGTGGCCTGGGAATGGTGTTCTGGGAAGACGAAGAACACGAAGTGGCCTACAGTTGGCTCCGGGCATTAAAAATGTGGCCTGGGAATGGTGTTCTGGGAAGAAGAACACGAAGTGGCCTACAGTTGGCTCCGGGCATTCAAAATGTGGCCTGGGAATGGTGTTCTGGAAAGACGAAGAACACGAAGTGGCCTACAGTTGGCACCGAACATTCAAAATGTGGTCTGGGAATGGTGTTCTGGGGAGTCCCCGGATCCTCCCCGGCACCCGCCCAGACCTTGGGAGTCCGGGGGAGTCCCTGGATTCTCCCCGGCATCCGCCCAAACCCCCTTGGGGAGTCAAGATGTTTTTTTTTTTGCGCCACTAGAAACCTATCGGTCTTCGCTGTTAGGTAAATAGCAAAATTATCCCGGAAAAGCAACCTAACAGCGATGTGTATAAGCATATCTGGAAGCATTCCCCTTAAGATTCACCTTGTCTCAGCTTCGGCCTGCTTCGGCCTCATCCTCAGCCTCAGCCTCAGTCTCAGCCTCAGCCTGCCTCGGCCTCAACCTGCCTCGGCCTCAGCCTCAGCCTGCCTCAGCCTCAGCCAGCCTCAGCCTCAGCCTCAGCCTGTCTCAGCCTCAGCCTGCCTTAGCATCAGCCTCAGCCTCAGCCTCAGCCTGCCTCGGCTTGCCTCGGCCTCAGCCTCAGCCTGCCTCGGCCTCAGCCTCAGCCTCAGCCTGCCTCAGCCTCAGCCTCAGCCTGCCTCAGCCTGCCTCAGCCTCAGCCTGCATCAGCCTCAGCCTCAGCCTGCCTCAGCCGCAGCTTGCCTCAGCCTCAGCCACAGCCTCAGCCTCAGCCTCAGCCTGCCTCAGCTTCCGCCTCAGCCTCAGCCTGCCTCGGCTTGCCTCAGCCTCAGCCTCCGCCTGCCTCGGCCTCAGCCTCAGCCTCAGCCTGCCTCAGCCTCAGCGTCAGCCTCTCAGCCTCAGCCTGCTCAGCCTCAGCTCAGCCTCAGCCTGCCTCGGCCTCAGCCTGCGTAAGCCTCAGCTCGCCCCAGCCTCAGCCTGCCTCAGCCTCAGCCTCAGCCTGCCTCGGCGTGCCTCAGCCTCAGCCTCAGCCTGCCTCGGCCTCAGCCTGCCTGGGGCCGCCTCAGCCTCAGCCTCAGCCTCAGCCTCAGCCTCAGCCTCAGCCCCAGCCTGCCTCAGCTTCAGCCTCAGCCTGCCTCGGCTTGCCTCAGCCTCAGCCTCCGCCTGCCTCGGCCTCAGCCTCAGCCTCAGCCTGCCTCAGCCTCAGCGGCAGCCTCTCAGCCTCAGCCTGCATCAGCCTCAGCCTCAGCCTCAGCCTGCCTCAGCCTCAGCGTCAGCCTGCCTCAGCCTCAGCCTGCCTCAGCCTCAGCCTCAGCCTGCCTCGGCCTCAGCCTGCCTCAGCTCGGGCATTCAAAATATGGTACAGGACCTGCGTTTTGTGAACACGAAGATCACAAAGTGGTCCACAGTTGGCTCCGGACAATGAAAATATGGTACAGGAATGGTGTTCAGGAACACGAAGTGGCCCACAGCTGGCTCCGGGCATTCAAAATGTGGCCTGGGAATGGTGTTCTGGGAACACGAAGAACACGTAGTGGCCTACAGTTGGCTCCGGGCATTCAAAATGTGGCCTGGAAATGGTGTTCTGGGAAGACGAAGATCACGAAGTGGCCCACAGCTGGCTCTGGGTATTCAGAATGTGGCCTGGGAATGGTTTTCTGGGAAGACGAAGAACACGAAGTGGCCTACAGTTGGCTCCAGGCATTCAACATGTGGCCTGGGAATGGTGTTCTGGGAATGGATTCCTAAGGATCCCTGAGAATTCTCAAGGATTCCTAAGGATTCCTGGGGCTGACCGTTCCGTCCGGTTTTGTCCAGATCCCGCCCAGACCCCCCTGGGGCGTCAAGAGGCTCTCTTTTGACACCACTAGAAACCTATCAGCAAAAGCTGTTAGGTAAAATGTCAGGGGAGATTGTGTTGACTCTTTCTACAAGTTCATGAATACTTTTTGGGTATTTCTTTCGTCCAAAATCTGCCTGTAGGAGGACACGCCCGACCTAATTTTGCCCGATCCTCGGCCAGGAGATCCGAGCCAGGAGGGTGGCGACGTGTCAGAGGACGCCAGCTGCCCACCTTACACCGACCCTGGGACAGGCCCGACCTTCACCACCCACCAAACCACCCCCACCCAACCCGAAGGTTTCAATTCGCCCTCCATTTCCAGTGGGGGGGGGTCGAGGAACATTGAAAACAACACTTATGAAACCCGTACCACCCCAACCCGAAATGCGGGTCTTCGGGTTGGGTTGGGGTGATCTGGTAGGTACAGTCGACCCGCAGAGTAAGGATAGGCATCCCTCCCAAGGGTACCCTTGCATCCTTGCTTCCTGGGTCCATCCTTGGACACTTTCGTTGGCCGCGCCCCGCTCGAAACGCTTCGAGATGGGCGTCCAAGGGCCTTGCATCCTTCTCGCGCATCCTTACTCTGCGGGTTGACTGTAGTCAGTCCTGTGCCGAGGACCGGAGCATGCGGCTTTGGACCGGGCCAGGGGGGCCTCGAGGGGTCGGCCTCGCCAGGATCGGCTGTGGGTGGACAGCTGGCCTTCTCCTGCAGGTACGCCGGGCTCTCCCGAGTAGGCCCAGTCGATCGGGCGGGTGGCAACAGGGGGTGACCTAAGTGGGGGGTGAAGAGCAGAGCCTTACAGGGGCCCTTCAGGCCCCCTCTCTGGAGCCAGCAGGGGCTCACGAGGGGTCCCAAAAGGGCCCCTTTGGAGCCCCTCTCTTCACCACCCATGCAGGTCACTCCCCACTGCCACCCGCCCGAGTCGAGTCGTAGCTCCTCGGGGTCGTTGTTGCCCCTCCCCCCTCGGAGCCGTAGCTCCTCGGGCCACCCTTGGCGCGGTGGTTATGCCGAGCTCGCCCGAAGAGGCTCGGCAACCCTGACCTCGATCCTCGAGCCGTGCATACGGAAACAGGATGGGGGGACACGATGCCACTGCCGATCGCGTCTATTAGTGCGTGTATGCAACTCAGATGCCCGACGAATATGATTTCACTTCTCAGTTGGTGGCTATCTTCCCTGGATCCATAAGCGGTTTGTGGGTTGCTGCTGGTGATGAAGTTGCAGATGGCAAGGATCATCGAACAATGATACCGACATGCCTTATCTACTTTTACATGCTTCACTGCGGACGCGTTCAAAGTGAATCACCCAAGCTCGTCTCTCGACGGGAGGTGGTTTGCCATTTGTTGCCCCCGCGGGCTCACCGAGCCCCGGGGCAGTCGAACGCAGCCTTGATGAAAAGGCATCCCCACGGAGGGGATCCAGTCCTCTGGGGAGCCGTGCTGTGAAAAAGCCACCACTTCGGATGCCTGGGACTGCTACACCCACCCGTTGGCCATCTGGGAAGCGGCGCCACGCGGCTGCAGCGTGGTCTGGCCGCACAGATGCGCGGCTATTTTGTGTGGCCTGTTCGGGTCTCCTCCCCTCCGACGTCGTGTTTTTATTGTTCGCTACGTGGCTCTAGGCCTCCCAGGTGGGGCCCGAGTAGATGGGGTTAGGATCGCGCCGTATCGCCGTCGCATCGCCGATGCGGCTCGATGTGGAGCCCGATGTTTCTCCGCGCCGAAGGCGCCGATGCATCGCCGACGTCGCGGATGCATCGCCGATGCATCGCCGATACATCGGTGATACATCGACGATGCGGCGTGATCTTCCGACTCCATCTGCTCCGAAATCATCTGAGAGGCCTCCAGTAGTTCCCTGGACGTCTGGACCCCCTAACAGGGACAGGCTTTCCCCCCGAGTTGTTTTTGTATTCGAGCTCCCAGGGCCCCGCCGAGGGCGGCCCCCGGAGGCGGAGACTTGCCCAAAGTCTTCCAGTGTGTTTTTGTTAAACGACGTCAGGCTCTTCGACGTCGACGACAGCGACGATGATTCCGACAACGACGCCGACGCCGACGGCGACGGCCGCGGCCGCGACGACGACGTCGACGACGACGGCGACGGCGACGGCGACGAAGATGGCGATGGCGACGACGACGACGACCGCCGCGGCCTTGCCGGGTCAGGCAGTGGCACCCAGACAAGACGACCGAGGAGGGCGCCAAGGAGAAATTCCAGGCGATTTCCGAGGCTTACCAGGAGACCGCCGTTTACCGCAGAGGAGGAGAAGGTGGAGGAGGAGGAGGAGGAGGAGGGCCCATAACTCCTCGCGTCGTGAAACAACCGCCGCGTAAGGTTGTTCGCCCTCACAGAGCTCTGGGGCCGTCAAAACATGGCTCGGGGTGCGAAGCTGATCCCGACACGTTTGTTGCTGCAGGGTTCCCGAGCAGAAGACTGCAACACGATGTTCCCTGGAAGAGTTTAGGGATTCTGCTGGGTTCTCGTTGGGTTCGAAGGGCAGGCTGATTTGTTTGTCGCACCTGCCGTTGTGACCGGCGGACTTCAGGAACGACGACGAAGCTAGGAGGTCACGGCCTCCCCCTTTCCGAGCCCCCCTCCCTCCCCGCCGGGCAGCCCAGGTGCTCTCCGACCCAGCAAGGCGGCGCGCTTACGACGCCCGCGGGCGGGAGGGGGCCGGCGAGGGCTTCGTGGACGCGCAGGCCGCCGCCGCCGCCGTGGCAATGGCGTGGTCGTGGCGTGGTCGTCGTGGTCGATGATGATGATGATGATGATGATGATGATGATGATGATGATGATGATGATGATGATGATGATGATGATGATGATGATGATGACGATGACGATGACGATGACGATGATGATGATGATGATGCTGATGCTGATGCTGATGCTGATGGTGATGCTGATGCTGATGCTGATGCTGATGCTGATGCTGATGCTGATGATGATGATGATGATGACGATGATGATGATGATGATCATCATCATGATGATGCTGTTGATGATGATGATGATGATAATGCTGATGATGACGATGCTGATGATGCATATGATGCTGATGGTGACGTTGCTGGTGCTGTCGATGATGACGATGATGATGATGCTGATGCTGATGCTGATGCTGCTGATGCTGCTGATGATGCGGATGATGCTGCTTATGATAATGATGATGATGATGATGATGCTGATGATGATGCTGATGATGATGATGACGATGCTGATGATGCTGATGATGCTGATGATGACGCTGCTGGTGCTGTCGATGATGATGCTGATGCTGATGCTGATGCTGATGCTGATGCTGCCGATGATGCTGATGATGATGACGATGATAATGCTGATGATGACGATGTTGATGATGCTGATGAAGATGGTGATGATGGTGATGATCGTGATGATCATGCTGCTGCTGATCATGACGATGATGGTAATGCCAATGATGATACTCACGATGTTGATGATGCGCTGATGATGATGCTGCTTACGATGAAGATGATGATGCTGATGCTGATGATGATGATGATGATGATGATGCTGTTTATAATGATGCTGATGATGATGCTGCTGATGATGCTTCTTTTGATGATGGCGATGGTGATGCTAATGATGATGATGATGATGATGATGATGATGATGATGATGACGCTGTCAATGATGATGATGGTGATGATGATGCTGATGGTGTTGATGATGCTGCTGATGATCATGATGGTGATGCTAATGATGATAATCACGATGTTGATGATGCTGATGGTAATGGTGCTGATTATGATGGAGACCATGCTGATGCTGATGATGTGGAGGATGATGTTGATGCTGCCCATGATGCTGCTGATGATGATAATGCTGCTGCTGATGATGATGATGATGATGATGATGATGATGATGATGATTATGTTTATGATGCTGATGATGATGCTGCTGATGATGGTCATGGTGATGTTGATGCTGCGGATGATGATGATGATGCTGATGTTGATGCTGCTGATGGTGATGTTGCTGCTGATGATGCTGATGCTGATGCTGATGCTGCTGTTGATAATGCTGATGCTGACGCTGATGGTGCTGTCGATGTTGATTATGATGATGATGCTGATGATGATGATGATGATGACGATCATGATAATGATGATGATGATGATGCTGATGCTGATGCTGATGCTGATGATGATGCTGATGATGATGATGATGGTGGTGATGGTGATGGTGATGGTGATGGTGATGGTGATGGTGATGGTGATGGTGATGGTGATGATGCTGATCGCTGCTGTCGCCGTGGTCGCGGCGTGGTCATGGTGCGGTCGTCCCCGTGCGGCAGTTGCGTGCCGGTGGCGCGGTCGTCGTACCGTCGCGGCCGTGGCCGTGCCCGCCGTCGCCCGCCGTTGGCTCACCGCCTTTGCCTTGGCGGGCCCCTGCGCGGGGCTCATTTCGACTCCTTCGGTTCGATCCGATTCGGCTTGGGATTCCGATTCGATTCGATTTCGATTCGAGTTGATTCGAGTCGATTCCGATTCGATTTCGATTCGATTTCGATTCGAGTCGATTCGATTTCGATGGCTTCCGATTCCGATTCGGTTCGACTTGGGTTTCCGATTCGGGCTCCGATTTCTTATTAGACGCATATTCTAGCCTGCCCATTTTCGCTGATTCGACCTTTCACGACTCGGCTGCCGATTTCCGCCGATCCGACTCCTGCCGGTCGTAGATCCGACTTGACGATTCGATTCTGGGATCTCCTGCCCTCCGCGGGGTCCCTGCTTCCGCGGCGGGAGCGGCCCTGGCCTCCTCGCGTTCGGTCGGCGTCGCGTACTGGGCGGGGCGATGCATGGCGGGGGGCGGGGGCGGGCGATACGGCAGGAAAGGGGGTGCCCCCCGTTCGCCGGGGAGCCCGCAGGTGCCCGGAAGGGTGCCCTGGCGCCCCCGGGCCTTTCATCAGGGGTGGACATACCTCCTACCCTGACACGTCGATTAAAGGAATTGGCCGTTTTCGGTTCGCGAGAGGGCGTCGCGGCCGTCATTTTTGCGGGTCCAGGTCCGTCGGTTTCGGTCCCAGGCCTTTTTCACTAAGGGGAGGTCTACTAAAGGGAGGTTTGTCCGCCGCCGACTATTGCCGTCCCATGGAACGACGCCCGAGCGCGTCTGGGCTCCAGGATCATCAACAGCGGCTCATTGTGCGAAAGTTGCTCCGCGGGAAGGGCTCCATACCTTGTAGGAGCCAGCGTGTGTGTGTGTGTGTGTGTGTGTGTGTGTGAAATCGATACACAAAAAAACACGACGTCGGATGTCTGGTGAGGACGGCGATGTCTCGTTCCCCTCTTTGCGACACTCGTCGTGCTCCGAGGCCTGCCTCCTGGCTCGTCCTCCCTTTACTTCTCGCCCTCCTTGCTCTTCTCGCCCTGGACGTACTCGTCGTCGTCTTCCCACTTCCCTCTTCCGGCTTGTCTTCCCCCTCTCCTTTTTCCCCTTCTCGTCTTTTCCCTTTCCTGCAGCTCCTCGTCCTCATCTTCGGATGTTTCGCCATCCCCCGACCACTAAATATGAATCATGCAAAAGTCGGCTCGGCTGTTTCCGGCACACTGCACAGGCCTTGTGGCCGCCTCCGCCGGCCCCGAGAATGCAACAGCTTGGGCGTAAGGGGTGGGGACGGGGGCATGGTGCGCAGTGGCGGCTTCAACGAGAGTGTAATGTGCGACAGCAGTGTGCCTTTGGGGCCCCCGCTTGGGCCGACCTGGGACCGTCCTCGGGGCTTCGGGCCCCTCTGGGGGGCCTCTGGGGCTGGCCCCCTGCTCCAAGACGGCCCGCGAGACTCCCAAGACTGCCGAGGTAGGCCCCGACGCCCCTGGACCCTTGGGACCGCGCCACCCCAGCGCGAAAGGAAGGGGCGTCCGTGCGACTCGACTGCGACCTGGGCTGATTCACCTCGGACCAGCGGGCTTGGAACGCCCAGGCGGCCGCGGGAAAAGGGGGACGAGTTTCGAATGGAAACACGTCTCCAGGACGTCTCCCCCCCCCCCTCCTCCTCCTCCTCCTCCTCCTCCTCCTCCTCCTCCTCCTCCTCCTCCTCCTCCTCCTCCTCCTCCTCCTCCTCCTCCTCCAGCCCCTTCCCCTCGAGCTTCTTTTTCAGGGGCGATCGCACACACTTCCACACCCCAGCGTTGCGCCTGTCCATGGCTGGGCCTATCTCTGATGTGTGCAGGTGACGTTCGTGGGGGGCAACATATTTTTCCCAGTGGCTTTCAGAAGTGCAGTTGTTTTCAGAAGTAGCATGTCTCTGAAGTTTGTCACGTACAACCCTTTGAGCCTGGTATCTGCAGGAAGAGTAGATGAGATTGCTTGTCGGCTTAATGTGGATGTGATCTTCCTCCAGGGCACGTGTGTTCGGGAATGGGTAGGCCGTACGTATCACGTGGAGCGTTTGAGTTCTCGCAGGATCGCACTACACTTCGGCTGGAGTCGGGCCCCTCACTCGAATTCTAGCGCGGGATGTTGCATCATATTGGGGAGGCGTCTACACCCTAACTACATCAAGCACGTGCACGCAGGTCCTTCGAACATCCCTGGACGTTATGGCGAAGTCCGCATCAAGGGTCCTGGTCTAGATCTTACGCTGATCACGGTGTACCCGCCGCCCTTGTATGAATCTGGGGGGAAGCGTCGAGCCCAAATAAAAGCAATAAAAAGCACACATGAGCATCTTAGAGCACGTGTTGAACGAGCCGCGACACGCAGTACAGTAGTCGTAGGCATGGACCTCAACTCTAGTCTTGGTCTGGGAAGTGATGGTTTGCGTCGAGATGAGGCTGGTGAACAGATCGGTCCTCATCATGTCGGTCGTCAGGGACTCGGGGGCACGATGGTTGGCGATCTCGTCCTCGATTTAGATATGGCGGCCCCGTGCACTTTCTACCCCCATGCTGGTCCGACATTCTATGGCAATAAGGGGGAGACCAGCACCATCGACATGTTTCTAGTTCCTCGTGGTCTTCTTCCTGGGGTAAAGAGGTGTCAGGTGGCCTGGAGGAGCGGGCGAGAGCTTCAGCTGATTCCGAGCGGGCGACCGCGCGACCACATGCCAGTACTTTTGGAAGTCCAATATGCCATGCCTCACTTTTTTCGGGACCCGAATTTCTTCCGCTGGGACTTTCAAAAATTTGCAGCAGCCCTACAGTCTGGTTTGTATCGGAAAGAGTTTCACGAAGAATTGGAGGCACGTTTTGCGTCTGCGGAACCTACCTTCTCTGAGTACCAGCAGGACACGCACACGGATCGTGAGTATGATCACTGGATTAGCATAGTACAGGACACGGCGCGCAAGCACTTTGCACTCGCACCTATCCCTCAGCATGATGTGTATCGTGTTTTACGTCGTGAGCGCTTATCTCTCGTCCGTGAACGTCATCAGCATCGTTGGGAGTTCCATCATTATTGGACTACCTATGGCCATCTCCCCTGCTATTCGGAGGAACACTTGGAGTGCCGCAGGAGAATCCGTCACCTTGGTGGTCTGCTCCGTCGTCTCTTCCGCAGGACTCGCGCTCGACGGCGGGCTGCTGTGCTCGAGGACCTCCATGAGGCCCGCCGCCTGGGCCACCAGGCCGAGGTTCACCGATTAGCACGTGTCTTAGCTGGGAGGTCCACGGGGGTTAAGCACCGTAAATATAACCACATATCTGGATTTACCCCCGATTTCTCTGAGCTG